AGGGGTGCCAGTTGCGGGGACCTGCCCCCAGGTTTTGCTTTTTCATTTCTCTAATATCCAGCACCCCATGCACCTTGTGTCTGCGTTCTGAGTGCGGATTTCTAGAGCTGGTTGCTTAGTAGTCCTGGGCTTTCACTCCCTCCCCATTCAAACTCCTTTCTTCCCGCTGGGTTTTGGGGTGAGGGAGCATTTGGGTCCCACCTGGCCGTAGCTTGTATCTTATCCCCTTTATGTGATGCTGAGTTCTCACAGATGTAGATGTATCCAGGCTGTTGTACTGCATCCACTGGTGTCTCTTTTAGGAATAGTTGTATTTATTGTATTTTCATAAATATATATGTTTTGGGGAGGAGATTTCCTCTGAACTACTCACACCACCATCTTCCCATGATCCCCAGTAATTTTTTAAATAATTGGCTTTTTCAGGTTTATAGAAGGAGCTCCATTAAACTCAAGGTCTCCCTTGCATTTCCGTGATGTTCACACTGAGATTTGTGTCTAGAGAGATATAAAATAAATGGAACTAGCAGAAAGATTCAATCTCGCATTCCACATAACCCATGAGGTTTTTTTTATTATGAAGGTATCATTGATATATACTTATGAATGTTTCACAAGAAAAATAATGTGGTTGCTACATTCACCCATACTATCAAGTCCCCCCCATACTCCACTGCAGTCACTGTCCATCAGTGTAGTAAGATGTCACAAAGTCACTACTTGTTTTCTCTGTGCTACACTGTCTTCCCCATGACCCCCCACGCACACCATTTGAACTAATTACAATGCCCCTCAATCCCCTTCTCCCTACCTCCCCACCTGCACTCCCCTACCCCTTCCCTTTGGTAACAGTTAGTCCCTTCTTGGAGTCTGTGAGTCTGCTACTATTTTGCTCCTTCAGTTTTGCTTCATTGTTATACTCCACACATGAGGAAAGTCATTTGGTATTTTGTCTTTCTCTGCCTGACTTATTTCACTGAGCATAATACCCTCTAGCTCCATCCATGTTGTTGAAAATGGCAGGATTTGTTTCTTTCTTTCTTATGGCTGAATAGTTTTCCATTGTGTATATGCACCACATCTCCCATGAGAGTTTTTATACCTCTCTGGCTGACAGGTAAGATAAGTATGCAAGCTGGAAAGTTCAGAGCCAATGAAAGTTTTCATAAAAATATTCTGATAGCCAGTGTATTTTATAACTGTGTATCATAACTGTTTAGCACATTCACTGTGAACCAAAGTTTTAAATATTTTACTCTAAACAGCAATCAGATTTGGGGATAGCTGTGTGTTTATGTCCATTTAATTTAGGGGGACTGGAGAAAGAGTCTACATGATTTATAGAAACAACACAGACTTTGGAGTTAGAAAAACATGGCTTGAATCCTGCTCTGCTACTACTGCATAACCTTGGGCAATTTGCTTAACCTCTGAGAGTCCATTTTTCTTTCTGTAAAATGTGTTTTGCCTGGCACACAGCACTCAAAAAATGTTAGTTCCATTTCTGCCTATACAGAGATAGATTATAATCAATGTAGCTCTTTAGGAACATTAATCTATGGGCAGAATACAGGACAATGAATATGGAAAACAGTAAGGACAAAAAATAATCAGTGAGGAAGTTTCAGAAATAAAATAATAGCTCAAACCAAGTAGTGGCAATGGGAACTGAAAGAAATAATGAATGAAAACATCTGGAAGAATGCACAGAATTGGGTATGAGGACCAAGAACAAGAAGAACAAAGCTGTAGGCAAGGTTTCTAGATTATGCAAAACTATAGCAGTGATATGACCAGAAGCTTGGTTGCATGATGACAAATGGTAAGGTGTCATGACAAATTTAAAATTGTTTCCCAAATACAACAGCTTTTTTTTCTTAGACCACTTGTCTGTATTTCTTAAACCAACAGAAATATAACACAAACCATATATATAATTTTTAATTTTCTTGTAACTACTTTTAAGAAGAAACAGGTAAAACTAGTTTTAATACTACATTCCTCTTATCCCAGTATATCCAAAATATCATTTCAACATGCAACCAATATAAAAAATGTTAAAAAAAGAATATTCTTTATTCTTTTTTGTATTAAGTCTTCAAAATCTAATGTTTATTTTACACTTAAAGCACATCACAATTTGGACTAGCCACATATGATTCATGGCTATTGTACTGGACAATGCAGGTTTATACAATTAGATTCTATAATTTTTATTTCCAGATGAATAGGTAAACAAAACATGGAACCTTCATTCACTGTTATACTACTAGCAATGGAAAGGACTAGACTATAACATGGATGAAGCTCATGCTTTATGCTAAGTAAAAAAAAAAAACAAAAAAAAAAACTTGAGAGTACTAAGTGATTCTATTCATATGACATTCTGAAAAAGGCTAAAATATAAAAAACAAAACAGATCAGTTGTTGCCTGAGACTGGAAGTAGGGACTGGACTTGATTAAATTCACGTGGGGAATTTTTTGGGATCATGGAAATGTGCTACATGTCAATTATGGTGATGGTTATACAACTACGCATTTGTCAGAACTCATACAACTATAAAAAAGTGATTTACTGTATGTAAATTTTAATTCAATAAATCTAAATTTAAAAAATTTATTACCAGGAGATAATGCTAATTATACAAGACCAAAATGTTTAAAAATAGGCTCTTTTATATGAACACAGTAAAGAAAAATATGACATGGTAATGAAGAAGGCATAGTTTATGTAAACCTTAATACATGCTAAATTGTATAATTTTTATCAATTTTTTAAAATTGATACTTTAAAATTGATTACTTTAAAAAGTAATACTGTACAGTATGTTTTATTTTCACTATCACAATGGTGCACTAATACAACAAAAATTTAATGGGATGTAATTTACAATATATTTTCCCCTTATATATGTCACAAAAACACAAGCATGCCTCCCCCAAATTAAAAAATTAAAAACTTCTGTGCTTCAAAGGATACCAAAAAGTGAAATGACAACCCAGTGAGTGAATGGGAGAAATATTTGCAGACTGTACATCTGATAAGGGACTTGTATCTATAATGTATAAAGAATACTTACTACTCAATAATTTTAAAAATGGGCAAAGGATCTAAACAGACATTTCTCAAAGAAGATAAACAAATGGCCAATAAGCATATGAAGAGATGTTCAACATCATTAGTTTTCAGGAAATGCAAATCAAAATGATAATGAAAAAACCATATCATACCACTAGCAAGGCTATATGTGAAAAGATAGATAATCTAACATGTATTGGTGAGGATGTGGAGAAATTGGAACACTTACAGACTGATGGTGGAAATGTAAAAATGGTATAGTTTGTTTGGAAAACAGCAGTTTCCTCAAAAGTTTAAACATAGGGTTACTAAGTGATCCAGGGATTCTACTCCTAGATATATAACCAACAGAAATGAAAACATTACGTCCACACAAAAACTTGTATATGAAACGTTCACAGCAGTATTATTCAAAATAGCCCCAAAGTGGAAATAACTCAAATGTCCATCAATTGAAAAACAGATACATAAAAAGTGTTATATCCATAGAATGGAGTATTACTCTGTACAAAATAATGCAGTACTGTCATGCACCACAATGTGGATGAACCTTGAGAACTTTATGTGAAGCAAAAGATGTCAGTCACAAAATACCACATGTTGTATGATTCTATGTACATGAAATGTCCAGATCAGGCAAATCTATCAGTGAAGAAAATACATTAGAAATTTCCTATGGCTGGAGGGGTTTGGGGAAAGAGGGCACAAGTATGGTGGCTAACGGTATAGGATTTCTTTCTGGGGTGATGAAAATGTTCTAAAATTGATAGTGGTGAAAGTTACAAACTGTGAATATCCTAAAAGCTACTAACTGTACACTTTGAAAGGGTGAAATGAAATTATATCTCTACAAAGCTATTAAAAAATACTCTCCTCTATATGATGGAGTATTTAGTAAATACTAACAAAATAACTGAACCAGAAGTTGTGTCTATACGAATGTGTAACTTTAATGTTTTAGTGTATCTTTGGCATTAAGTTAGAAAAAAGAGCAAAATTGTTACCTTTTCTAATGAAGACAGCTGTTGGTATAATCCATCACATTTTTTGTTTGCTTCTTCAAAAAGAGTTTTGTATTTTTCTGCTTGAGACTGTTGCAAATTAATTGTTCGCTGCTGTCTCACACAATCTTCTTCAAAATTTTTTATCTGAGACTTTAAATCCTGAATTTCATCCTTCTATAGTTATGGAATTATAGATGTGAAAAAAAGCACAAGATCTATTGTCAAAACATAAAGTAGAAAACAAAAAGGAACTTCATATGATCTTTGGTATTTATACCCATGAAGAAAAACAAATTACATTCCATTTTCATCTTCAAAAATATAACTCAGATGTTTTGTTTGCATTTAATAGCTTATACTTGTAAGTCTAATACAGAGAATTCTAATGGCTAACAAGTATTAAAATTCTTTAGCTCTGAAAATTCAACATCTCAGAATAAAGTTCAATATTTACGTACAATTTTTCAATTCAAATTTAATTGTGAATTATATCTTAATGAAGCTATTTTAAAAATAATTGAAATTCCTCCTAAAATGTCTTTGAATATTAGACATTTATTTGGAGGTCTTAAAAAACTTACCTTTTTATTGCATTCACATACAACATTATCCAATTCCTCCTGCATAACACGGAGTTTGGCCTTTAGAAATCTGATCTGTGCTTCTGTGGATTTAAATAATTATTTATTGTCTTTCACTGAATCTAAGATGCTTTCATTTTAAGAGAGAATTAGTTTATGAGGAAAAAAGTGCTCAAGAAAGGGTGTCTGACAGGAGGTCCCTGTTTGGGACACTAAATACCCCAACATAAAGGTGAATGAAAAACAAATTCACCAACACAAAGTAACTATTTACAACCTGACACTGGAACTGGATAAAGAAAATGGGAAAGACACAAAAATCTCTCCTGAGAATCTGAACCACAAGCCAGTATTCACACAAATTTTCAGATTGAATTCATACTTACCAAGGTAGTCCAAAACACATCTAACAGAACTTAAAGTGGTTTCAGGTCAGTAATGTCCCCAAATGTTTGGCAGAAACAAACACAAATCCTCTCTAGTGAAACTCAGTCTCGACTGCTGTGGTTATAAAATTCCATTGATGGTAACACTCCAATTTCACAGAAGTTAAAAAATGTAGTATATGTGTCAGAATCAAAGAAATACCTTTCTGCCAAAGCTTTCTCCCACAAACCCTCATTAAGATCTACTTTTTGTATTTCATTGCTAGCAAAAGTTCTTTATTCTATAATATCAGCAGTAAATCTTTGAAGTTTAGAGGCCCCAAAAAATAAAATGAAAACTGAACTTAGAACTCACTTGTTATTCATTTGATCATTCATTCAAAAAATATACATTAAGTCTCTACTATGTTTCAGGCATAACAGGGGAATTAAAATACAAGCTTTGCCCTCATGGAGCTTATCTTGAGTAAACACTCTGAATTGCCTCTTAGAAATCTTCGGGATAAATCCCACAGAATACAAAATATCCCCACATACACTTCCTGTTGAAAGCTCTTCTTATGAAGTGGCCCCCCTGTTACCGGGAGCTCATGAACCATAGTGGCTCTAACCCCACTAAGATCTCTCTAGCTGCACCTCTCCTTCCAGCATTTCACGTAACTCCAGGTTAGCAGGGGACAGAAGGGAAATGATAACTTTAAAGGTGTGAAGTTTGTGGTAGTTGGTCTCTAGAGGGAGAGAACAAAGATATTTTACACTTAAAGCACATCACAATTTGGACTAGCCACATATGATTCATGGCTATTGTACTGGACAATGCAGGTTTATACAATTAGATTCTATAATTTTTATTTCCAGATGAATAGGTAAACAAAACATGGAACCTTCATTCACTGTTATACTACTAGCAATGGAAAGGACTAGACTATAACATGGATGAAGCTCATGCTTTATGCTAAGTAAAAAAAAAAAACAAAAAAAAAAACTTGAGAGTACTAAGTGATTCTATTCATATGACATTCTGAAAAAGGCTAAAATATAAAAAACAAAACAGATCAGTTGTTGCCTGAGACTGGAAGTAGGGACTGGACTTGATTAAATTCACGTGGGGAATTTTTTGGGATCATGGAAATGTGCTACATGTCAATTATGGTGATGGTTATACAACTACGCATTTGTCAGAACTCATACAACTATAAAAAAGTGATTTACTGTATGTAAATTTTAATTCAATAAATCTAAATTTAAAAAATTTATTACCAGGAGATAATGCTAATTATACAAGACCAAAATGTTTAAAAATAGGCTCTTTTATATGAACACAGTAAAGAAAAATATGACATGGTAATGAAGAAGGCATAGTTTATGTAAACCTTAATACATGCTAAATTGTATAATTTTTATCAATTTTTTAAAATTGATACTTTAAAATTGATTACTTTAAAAAGTAATACTGTACAGTATGTTTTATTTTCACTATCACAATGGTGCACTAATACAACAAAAATTTAATGGGATGTAATTTACAATATATTTTCCCCTTATATATGTCACAAAAACACAAGCATGCCTCCCCCAAATTAAAAAATTAAAAACTTCTGTGCTTCAAAGGATACCAAAAAGTGAAATGACAACCCAGTGAGTGAATGGGAGAAATATTTGCAGACTGTACATCTGATAAGGGACTTGTATCTATAATGTATAAAGAATACTTACTACTCAATAATTTTAAAAATGGGCAAAGGATCTAAACAGACATTTCTCAAAGAAGATAAACAAATGGCCAATAAGCATATGAAGAGATGTTCAACATCATTAGTTTTCAGGAAATGCAAATCAAAATGATAATGAAAAAACCATATCATACCACTAGCAAGGCTATATGTGAAAAGATAGATAATCTAACATGTATTGGTGAGGATGTGGAGAAATTGGAACACTTACAGACTGATGGTGGAAATGTAAAAATGGTATAGTTTGTTTGGAAAACAGCAGTTTCCTCAAAAGTTTAAACATAGGGTTACTAAGTGATCCAGGGATTCTACTCCTAGATATATAACCAACAGAAATGAAAACATTACGTCCACACAAAAACTTGTATATGAAACGTTCACAGCAGTATTATTCAAAATAGCCCCAAAGTGGAAATAACTCAAATGTCCATCAATTGAAAAACAGATACATAAAAAGTGTTATATCCATAGAATGGAGTATTACTCTGTACAAAATAATGCAGTACTGTCATGCACCACAATGTGGATGAACCTTGAGAACTTTATGTGAAGCAAAAGATGTCAGTCACAAAATACCACATGTTGTATGATTCTATGTACATGAAATGTCCAGATCAGGCAAATCTATCAGTGAAGAAAATACATTAGAAATTTCCTATGGCTGGAGGGGTTTGGGGAAAGAGGGCACAAGTATGGTGGCTAACGGTATAGGATTTCTTTCTGGGGTGATGAAAATGTTCTAAAATTGATAGTGGTGAAAGTTACAAACTGTGAATATCCTAAAAGCTACTAACTGTACACTTTGAAAGGGTGAAATGAAATTATATCTCTACAAAGCTATTAAAAAATACTCTCCTCTATATGATGGAGTATTTAGTAAATACTAACAAAATAACTGAACCAGAAGTTGTGTCTATACGAATGTGTAACTTTAATGTTTTAGTGTATCTTTGGCATTAAGTTAGAAAAAAGAGCAAAATTGTTACCTTTTCTAATGAAGACAGCTGTTGGTATAATCCATCACATTTTTTGTTTGCTTCTTCAAAAAGAGTTTTGTATTTTTCTGCTTGAGACTGTTGCAAATTAATTGTTCGCTGCTGTCTCACACAATCTTCTTCAAAATTTTTTATCTGAGACTTTAAATCCTGAATTTCATCCTTCTATAGTTATGGAATTATAGATGTGAAAAAAAGCACAAGATCTATTGTCAAAACATAAAGTAGAAAACAAAAAGGAACTTCATATGATCTTTGGTATTTATACCCATGAAGAAAAACAAATTACATTCCATTTTCATCTTCAAAAATATAACTCAGATGTTTTGTTTGCATTTAATAGCTTATACTTGTAAGTCTAATACAGAGAATTCTAATGGCTAACAAGTATTAAAATTCTTTAGCTCTGAAAATTCAACATCTCAGAATAAAGTTCAATATTTACGTACAATTTTTCAATTCAAATTTAATTGTGAATTATATCTTAATGAAGCTATTTTAAAAATAATTGAAATTCCTCCTAAAATGTCTTTGAATATTAGACATTTATTTGGAGGTCTTAAAAAACTTACCTTTTTATTGCATTCACATACAACATTATCCAATTCCTCCTGCATAACACGGAGTTTGGCCTTTAGAAATCTGATCTGTGCTTCTGTGGATTTAAATAATTATTTATTGTCTTTCACTGAATCTAAGATGCTTTCATTTTAAGAGAGAATTAGTTTATGAGGAAAAAAGTGCTCAAGAAAGGGTGTCTGACAGGAGGTCCCTGTTTGGGACACTAAATACCCCAACATAAAGGTGAATGAAAAACAAATTCACCAACACAAAGTAACTATTTACAACCTGACACTGGAACTGGATAAAGAAAATGGGAAAGACACAAAAATCTCTCCTGAGAATCTGAACCACAAGCCAGTATTCACACAAATTTTCAGATTGAATTCATACTTACCAAGGTAGTCCAAAACACATCTAACAGAACTTAAAGTGGTTTCAGGTCAGTAATGTCCCCAAATGTTTGGCAGAAACAAACACAAATCCTCTCTAGTGAAACTCAGTCTCGACTGCTGTGGTTATAAAATTCCATTGATGGTAACACTCCAATTTCACAGAAGTTAAAAAATGTAGTATATGTGTCAGAATCAAAGAAATACCTTTCTGCCAAAGCTTTCTCCCACAAACCCTCATTAAGATCTACTTTTTGTATTTCATTGCTAGCAAAAGTTCTTTATTCTATAATATCAGCAGTAAATCTTTGAAGTTTAGAGGCCCAAAAAAATAAAATGAAAACTGAACTTAGAACTCACTTGTTATTCATTTGATCATTCATTCAAAAAATATACATTAAGTCTCTACTATGTTTCAGGCATAACAGGGGAATTAAAATACAAGCTTTGCCCTCATGGAGCTTATCTTGAGTAAACACTCTGAATTGCCTCTTAGAAATCTTCGGGATAAATCCCACAGAATACAAAATATCCCCACATACACTTCCTGTTGAAAGCTCTTCTTATGAAGTGGCCCCCCTGTTACCGGGAGCTCATGAACCATAGTGGCTCTAACCCCACTAAGATCTCTCTAGCTGCACCTCTCCTTCCAGCATTTCACGTAACTCCAGGTTAGCAGGGGACAGAAGGGAAATGATAACTTTAAAGGTGTGAAGTTTGTGGTAGTTGGTCTCTAGAGGGAGAGAACAAAGAAAGAATGGAAGAGCATGACTTTTACCATCTCTTTCCCCAACTCTAACCTGAATAGTATCATCAAGGAACGGGGTGCTCCTGTCTCTGCAGGCTCACAACACTAAACTCCTCTCCCCATCTGACTCTGACTTCAGTCTTACCAAGAAGTCTGTGCTACTAAACTACTTTTTAATCTTTCCTTCCCACAGGTAGCATAGCCATTTTAGGCAATTATCTGGAATAAGAGAAAACTCCCCAAAAGGGGAGAACTTAGGCCAAAGATTTTGAAAAGGGAGATAGGGAAGTAAAGTGGCAGAGAGGTGATTCAGAAATAAGAAAAAAGTAGCAGTTTAAGGTAGTCTATCTGTGCTGGTTCCATATATCTGGGAGCAGGAACACTGTAACAGGGCCATGGGTGACTGTGTACTGAGGAATAGTCAACATGTGATCATTGTGTCCTTGAAGGCATCTTAACAGAAACAAAAGGCAACTTCCTGCTTCACTTACCTTCTCTTCTGATAACTACTCCCAGAAAGCTTAGAAAGGTCAGTAAATGTAATAAACTCATAAAATGAATTGCTCCTCATTTATGACTAACTAGCAGGCAGCATAATAATCATTACACATATAAATTTTTATGCTTTTTACAGAATCAGAGAATTTTAAAGATAAACTTTATGATTCTCTAATACAAACTAAATTTTCAAATGAAACTGCTATTACAGAGATTGTGTAAGTGCCCTGACTGGTCACAACTGAACAACATTAGAACAAAAAAACACATAAGAACACAAAAGAACACAATAACTATGTTCTATATACACTCAATTATTTTACTTTTGTTTACAATAGCATAGGTGGTTCCTCATAAATTCAACAATTTTAGAGGCTTTACTGATACGCTGTTTTTTAGATTATCTAAACAATATTGATTTTCTCGTGATATGCAGAGAATGAATTTATAAAAAAGAAAATTACATTCATTAGAAAAGTCATTTATTTCACCTGATGCTACATCAGTAATTCATCCTTTTGCAGGTGTTGATTTAACACGCACTAAGTAAAATACAGTAACATTAAATGACAGAAATTTAAAGACAGAAATTTAACGAAATTTAAATGTCATTAAAAAAAATCATTTTAGTGTTTTAATGATAAGCTATAAGGCACTTTAACCTTAGTTGAAAAGTGGTCAATGTAACCAATATCATATAGTCTTTTTTGTTTTTACCTTTTATAATGGAAAATATAAAAAATACACAAAGTTGAAGATACTAGTTCAATGAAACATTACCTATACATCACCCATTTTCAATTATTGACTCATAATGAATTCTACTTCATCTATAATCTTCCACTATATCTTATAGAAGATATTGAAATAAATGTCAGAAATAACAATATATTTTTTAAATGCAAGAAAAATAGTCCCCAAATATCTTTTTCTAAGTAATTGGAAGGAAAAAATTAAAGGAAAGCTTACCTGTTCCAATGTCTTTACTAACACCACAAAAAATATCATCATCATCTGTATCACCAGAAAAGCCTTCTTCCTCCAGTTGCCCTTCAATTTTGCTAATTGTTTTTATAAGAGAAAAGTCTGAGAAATCCTCTGGAATGGCAACATCATTGGCAGTTGGTACATCAGAGTATTTTGATTTTATACTAAAAAAAAAAATATATATATATATATATATATATATATAAATGGGTGTATGTACACTGTATATATGCAAAGGAGATAGGACTCTTATCCAAATAAGCAAAATTATAAATTGTATATTTATGATGAAATCTACAATTGATACTTTCAAGAACTACATTTTAAGAAACTTAGTAGACTTTCAATCTTTATGAATCATACAACCACAGAGCTAGAGCTAGAAAAGCCTTTATGAAACCAGTTAGTCTAGACTTTACCTCTGAACCCGTGAACATTAAAACTAAGAGTAATGAACTTGGCCTTCTAAGTCAAATCCAGTCTTTGGCTTTTACTTTTATGTGCCACTGTAGAAAAACTATACAAGTTGGTATCACTTCTAGCAATATGTCTGCAAAAGCTGAAGAATAATACCTCTTAAGAAAGAATTATAGAATGAACAGTTATTTTTCTAAACTCACTATTTCCTTTCCACCCTAAAAAAACACATGTTAACCAGGATCAAAGTCAATGAAAAAGTTGGATTTGACTTTTTTTAATGAGGCAATGGAAGAAGCATGAAATAGAAGTCATGTCTGAAGGTACTGAGCAATGTGCCAGGCCTAACCCATCAAATTTATGAATTTGAAAGCCTTACTTTTCACTTTTTACTTACTTTTAAAGCCTAACTTACTTTCAGCAAATAAGCAGAATTCCATTTGGAAAAACAACCTTTCTTTAAAAAGTAAACTTAAAGTCTGAAAATAAGACAGCCCTTTCCAGTTATGCATGTATGTATGTACTTACACATATACTGTATGTTCTCTTTTATCCTATCAGTCTATTTTAGATTTCTTTTTGTTAACTTTTCACTCTATTTTTTCTCTTTTATTAAAAAAAAAAGTTCTTTAGCCAGTTAAGACACAAAAATTAGCAAAGATTTTTCCAGAATTATAATGCAATTATCAGTTTGGGTAAGTAATAGACATATAAATTTAATAACTTACTGTGAATAAGAAGCTGATTGGTACAATCCACTGTAGGTGTGACCTTTTTCTAGAAGATCTCCTACCCTAGAAAGCCTCTTGTATCCCCTTTTTAGGTTTAAAATACTAAGAACAGTCTTGAATTCTTTCTCACCAAAACCAACAGAATGTAAATTATAATTATACTATAGTCTTATTTAGAGAAGGCCAATCATTTTCTATCTCAATATACACAACAATGTATGGTGCTCTGTTAAATGCTCAAAAAGTAAAATGTTTAGTCTATTTGAGTGAACTGGGAAGATAAAGACACCTAGGTTATAGTCTTAATTCTAAGAAAATATCTCACTAAAAATAATATGTAAAAAACATTTGAAATGTGGCAATTTTGCTTAAGAGAACACCACAAAATATTCAGTAATAGCTGTAAAACATTTCTATGTAGAAGGTGTCTTAAATTATTGGATAAGATATATACACTATAATTTTATATATTTTAGGTATAAAAATATTTGCAGAAACAGAAAGAGCTTAATAAATAAGAATGATGGAACTGTGGATCATAAAGCTAAAAAAGAAAAGTAACATTTTAAAACTGTACTATACCTTAAATGTGTTTTCCTTCCTTTACTTGCAGAGCGTAGTTTGGTTTGAACTTTGTTTACTGGATTATTGTTTTTGTTCTTTGACTACATGAAAAGAATTTAAACTATTGATTAGATTCTAATCATTTGCCAAGGAAAGCAATTTTGTAATAAACAGAATTGCTGGTTTCCTACACAGAAGAATGGCTATTGTCATGGAATTAATCAAAGTGTATTTTAAAGAATCCCATTATTGTCCATACTTACTACTTTATTCAACATAGTACTGGAGGTCCTAGCCATGGCAATCAGATACCACAAAGAGATAAAAGGCATCCAAATTGGTAAGGAAGAAGTTAAACTGTCACTATTTGCAGATGACACTAAAGACTACACCAAAAAACTGTTAGAATAACCAGATTCAGCAAAGTTTCAGGATACAAAATTAATACACAGAAATCTGTTACATTCCTATATACTAACAACAAACTAGTAGGAAGAGAAATCAGGAAAACAACTCCATTTACAATTGCATCAAAAAGAATAAAATACCTAGGAATAAACCTAACCAATGAGGTAAAAAACCTATACTCTGAAAACTATATGACACCCATGAGAGAAATTAAAGACACCAAAAAAATGGAATCTATCCCATGTTCATGGACAGGAAGAATCAATATTATCAAAATGCCCATCCTGCCCAAAGCAGTTTACAGATTCAATGCAATCCCTATCAAAATATCAACAGCATTCTTCAACAAACCAGAACAAATAGTTCTAAAATTCATATGGAACCACAGAGATCCTGAATAGCCAAGGCAATCCTCAGAAAGAAGAACAAAGCTAGGAGCATTATGCTTCCTAACTTCAAGTTCTACTACAAAGCTACAGTAATCAAAACAGTATGAAACTGGCACAAGAACAGACCCATAGATCAATGGAACAGAATAGAGATACCAGATATAAACCCACAAATATATGGTCAACTAATATACAATAAAAGAACTATGGATATAGAATGGCAAAATGACAGCTTCTTCATATGTCTCAACACCCAAAAAACAAGTAACCCAATTAAATAATATGCAGAGGAACTGAACAGACATTTCTCCAAAGAAGACATACAGATGACCAACAAGCACATGAAAAGATGTTCCACACTAATCATCTTGGAAATGCAAATCAAAACCACAATGATTAAGATATTTACCTCACACCAGTCTGAATGGCTACTATCCAAAAGACAAGAAATAACAAATGTTGGAGAGGATGTAGAGAAATGGGAACCCTCCTACACTGTTGGTGGGAATGTAAATTGTGTAACCACTGTGGAAAGCAGTATGGAGGTTCCTCTAAAAACTAAAAACAGAAATACCATTCAATCTAGTAATTCCCCTTTTAGGAATTTACTCAAAGAAAACAAAATCCCTGATTAATAAAGATACATGCACTCCTGTGTTTATCACCAGATTATTTACAATAGCCAAGATATGGAAGCAATCTAAGTGTCCATCAACAGATGAATGGATAAAGAAGAGGTGATATATATACACGATAGAATATTATTCAGCCATAAAAAGAAAATAAATCCTGCCATTTGTAACAACATGGATGGATCTAGAGGGTATTATGCTAAGTGAAATAAGCCAACAGGAGAAAGACAAATACTATATGATTTCACTTACTTGTAGAATATAAAAACAAAGCAAAACAGAATGAACAAAACAGCAGTAGACTCACAGACATTGAGAAGTGACTAGGGGTTACCAAGGGGGAGGGGTTGGAGTTGGGGGAAAAGGGTGAGGAGGATAAAGGGGCACAATAATTCACCATCACAATATAAGCTGGTCATGAGGATGGTAGTACAGCATGAAGACTATAGTCGATGATTGTGTAACATCTTTCTATGTTGATAGATAGTAACCATAGTAGAGGGGATGAGAATTTAATAATATGGGTAACTGTTGAACCACTGCGTTGTACATTTGAAACTAATATAAGATTGTATATCAATACTTCAATATAAAAAAAAGATACCAGAACTATACAGCTGGAAAAGACCTAGCTATCTCCAGGACCAAGAGATTCAAAGATAAGGAAAATGAGTCCCCAAATTCAAGGATATTCAGCTCTCTAGTAGAACATTAAACTGGGTGTTGTGACTCTCAGAATTTAGTTCTTCTCACTGATTATTCCCCAGAAAGGCCTTCATATATGCTGTTCCCTTGGCCTAAATCCCCTGGGTGAGGAACTTGTAGATACCAGTATGCCCAGCAGCGAAAATAGTTACCTCTTACTGTAAATATTTAAATGAATGAATTAAACTTTCAAATCACCTTCTTTTTATTCAAATTTTCTTTTTCAGTTTTTTTCTAGTAAATTTGGGCTTCAGAGACAAAACTAAAAGTCCTTAGGTTATAGACTCATTTCACTTGGAATTTTTTCCAGTGTACCTCCAAACTGTTCAGTGAAATTATGAGACAAAAAAAGATTCAATTTATTTTATGAGCAACATTTCATGAAGACATCTCTTCTGAGTATGCTATTTCTATAGAATCATAATCCTCTGTTTTGTCTAGAAAAAGTCTAAAAAATAAACTAAATGCTACAGAATGTAAATGTAGTTACATGAAAATAAACTAAATTCTACAGAATATAAATATAGTCATATGAAAGTTTGATTTCATACCTTAGTTTCTGAATGTAGATGAACTGTCCCTTCAGATATCAGACCTCTACAGACCAAAAATAAACATTATGCATTAACAGATGAAACTAAGCCAAGAAACAAAATAATTCAACAGCAATTATATTTTAAAAAGAAAATATACAAACATCAACTAGCCTTTCTATAATTCTAGTTATGCACATGCTAATTTATTTTGAATGAGTGTCACAAACAAGCAAAGTGCTTAGGCTAAATAATTCATTTTTGAGAAGATATACTATAATGTCACTATTTTGTAGGAAAATTAGCACAACTTCTAACTAATGGAAACATAAGGAGTGATAACTGGCCATACAAAGAAAGAGCTTCTCTGTTTCACAAAATGACTCACCAAAGGGCTTTCTATTGTTAGCCTACTCAAGTGTTAACCTTTGTCTGATGCATTAAACAAATGACTTGGTCCTTGTCTGTTTTCTCCATTACACTGTGAACTTAATTAGGGTAGGAATCATGTCTGCCTTGCTCACAGCTCTGTACCTAGTACTTAGCAGGGTACCTGGCATATAAGCTCTTAAATCTGCACTACATATTTTTTAAGTGCATAAATAGATCTAAAATGCGATTCATTTTTATGCTCATGTTGTCAAAATACATTTGTAGTTTAAAACTAGTGTTTATGGGGGTCTTCAAACTATGGCCCACAGGCTGAGTCCATGCACACCCACTCATTTGTGCACTGTCTACAGCTGTTACGGCACCAAATAAACAAAGCTGAGTAGCTGCAACAAAAACCTTATAGCTCACAAAGCCTAAAATATTTACTACCTGGTTCTTTATAGAAAAAGTTTGCTACCCCTCAGCACAGTCTAGATCATCCCCAACACATGATTAATACTTCTGAAAAATCTGCCACAATAGTACCTATTGTTGCTATGGAAAAGAGAAAGAAATTAACTCCATTATATCCCCTGAGAACTCCAAACCATAGCAGAGGACATAAAATTATTTTCCATCAGATGCCCCCTACTAAACTAGTCAGACATAGGTTATTTTCCTATTAAACACAAAGATGTACTTTGATAAATAGTATTAAATACAACCTCTTAAAGAACTAGAAATAGCTCTGGGAAGAAAAAAATCATCAAAATATCTTAAAATTACAATCTAAAGAATCATTCTCACGTGACATGAAAATGTTACCAAAGTTAATACAAATTTTAAGTGTCTCTTTAATCACCCTCATGTTAAATAACATTTGCCATTTCCATACTTTTGTTGCATTTTCCATCTCCTTTCCCTTTGCCATATACACACAGATATCAACAAAAAGACATTTAATGGTTATCTGTTTTGCTCAGGTTTAGCAGAGTGACATTACTTTGCATTTCCCTGAAAAATGAACTAAAACACATTATTCTGATTATTTCTGTTGAAATTTTCCATTAAAGGAAAATATGATTGAAATGATTTGTGTCATAAACTTTACTTCCAACAGACCAAAGGATATATATACCTTACCATTAGGAAACTAAATTCTGGTTTCCCTACCATAGTGTTTGGTAGAGTAAACCTGAATGTAGAAGACCTATTATAATACACACTGCCTCACTGTAATCATTTAGGTGAACTATTGTTGTTACAAATTGAAATAGATTGTCTCTTTACAGAATTATCCCTTCAGCAATTCCTGCTAATAGTCAAGTATTATGTTTCATGTGGTAAATGCCACCTACCTGTTCAAAAAGTAGCATTAAAAAAAAAACCTAAGTGTCTATCAGTAGATGAATGTATAAAGAAGAGGTGGTAAATACACCCAATGGAATATTATTCAGTCATAAAAAGAAAACAAATCCTACCATTTGCAACAACGTGGATGGAGCTAGAGGGTATGATGCTCAGTGAAATAAGCCAGGTGGAGAAAGACAAGGACCAAATGATTTCCCTCATTTGTGGAGTATAACAAAGAAGCAAAACTGAAGGAACAAAACAGCAGCAGACTCATAGACTCCAAGAAGGGACTAGCGGTTACCCAAGGGAAGGGCTTGGGGAGGGTGGGTGGGGAGGGAGGGAGAAGGGAAATAAGGGGCATTATAATTAGCATTCACAATATAGGTAGGTCACGGGGGAAGGCAGTATAGCATGGAGAAGACAAGAAGTAGTGACTCTATAGTATCTTACTATGCTGATGGACAGTGACTGCAATGGGGAGGGGGGACTTGATAATATGGGTAAATGTTGTAACCACAATGTTGCTCATGTGAAATCTTCGTAAGATTATATATCAATGATACCTTAATTTGAAAAGAAAAACCACCTGATTTATGTAAGCAGAGGTGTCATCACCTCTTTACACTTCAGGAAATTTTAGTAAAAGAAAATCAACAGATTTATTTTTATGCTTGTGAGATCAGTCTCTCACTTGCTTCAAAAGAAACTAGGGATTAGCTGCTGTTACCATAATTTCAATCTTTTAATTTACTGGATAAAAGCCATGCTAATCTTATTTGCAATCCAAATTTTGGAATTTTTTAAACTGTTAAGCATCATTTCCCATAAAATATCAGAAAACATTATATATATGGATAAGTAGTTTCACGTTATATGTACACATAGAGAAGTGTATATCAAATGATGATGTAAAAATATTTTTATGGGAAAATTCTTTGAATTAAAAAGTAAAAAAAAAAAAGGCAACACACTAGGCATTAACTCCCTGGGGGTAGGACCTGGTCAATTTACTAACCATTGTACCAGGTGTAGGTAGACAAGGCACTAATGGTGTTAAAAATTTTTCAAGTTTATTGAAATGCAATTTACATATAGTAAAATATACCCTTTTTAGGTATATAGTTCTATAAATTTTAACAAACATAGGGTAACATAACCACCACAACAGCCAAGACAGAGGATATTTCCATCACCCAAAAAATTCCCCTGTGTCCCCTTGTAGTTAATACCCTCCACTAAGCTCCACACACAACTAATCTGATTTCTGTCCCTATAGTTTTACCTTTGTCAAATGTCAAACAAATGGAATCACACAGAATATATAGTTTTTAGTTTGGCTTCTTTCACATCTATGTTGTTGTTGTAACAGTATTTCATTACTTTTTATTGTCAAGTAGGATTTCATTGCATGGATATGCCATAATCTATTTATCCATTCACTACTTAATAAATATTTGATTATTCCCAGTTCTTGGCAATTTGAATAAAACTGCTATAAACATTTGCATACAGGTTTCTTCTAGGACATACGTTTCATTTTTCTTGGGTAAATAGCTAAAGGGGAATTGCTGGATTGTACGTAAAACTATTTTTGAATAGATGAATAATGTCCCAATATTTCAAGTATGAGTCAAATATATTGCACTTAAATAAAATTTTTTTTGTTGTTTCTAAACCCTCTAAAGTATTTAAACATTGTATCTTCTTAGGGCTGTGTAACTCTTACAGCCTGCTTCTTCATCTTACAAGATTGGGAGGATCCATAGCTGTTTTAAGATAAACAAACCCAAATAGTTTTAGTCTGTCACTCTTAAACTTTTTTGCAGGTACAACTCTCAAAAAGCAGAGTTTACCTATTTGATTCCAGTCAGTTTCATGTACAGTACCACATGCACAGTTCTTTCCAAGACTATACTTTTTTGCCTTGAACCCTCCCCTGGTTCCCACCCCCCAGTTCACACTTTGAGGTTGTTAGATTTTATGGGGAGACTATACCTTTAGTTAGATCTTTGCCCTGAGCCCTTTTATCCACTGGAAAGTTAATAAGTGCCATTTAAAATTATCCTTGCCATGAAGAACCTTAATTCGCTGGAAAATGTTATCAATAGTTGTGAAAACTAACTTGTAGTCTGATCTTTGCCTGAAGGTTGAGCTTTAATAAGCTTTTGTTCTTCAAAGATTTTCTCAATTTTATCTCCTAACTTTTGAGGTCTAAAAAGCAGCTGACTCTACAAAGTAAGGGTAATCAAGACAGTGTGGTGCTGGCATAGAATTGATATATAGATCAAATGTAAGAGAATTGAGAGTCCAAAAATAAAACCATGTGTCTCTGGTCAGCTGGGTTTTGACAAGAGTACTAAGACCATTCAGTGGGGGAAAGAACAGTCTTTTCAGCAAATGGTGCTGAGACAACTGGATATCCACATGCCAAAGAATGAAGTTTAACCCTTATCTCATACCAGGTACAAAAATTAACTCGAAGTGGATCAAAGACTTAAATGTTAGAGCTAAAACTAAACAACTGTCTTCAAAGAAAGCATGTGGCAAATCTTAATGACTTCAAGTTTAGCAATGGATTCTTACATATGACTCCAAAAGCCCAGGTAACAGATGAAATAAATAGATAAACTGAATCTCATCAAAATTAGACGGTGACTCTTTCAATATTACAAGGCTTCTAGTTTCTGGAATCTCCACATTCCCATTCACTGTGCCTCCAAAACAGCTAACTCTTTCCCAAACTTGTCTCTTTCTTATAATCCATGCCAAATACAGCTAACAGTAACAGTGCATATTACTAATATTTTGTTTTCCAACCTCTCCCCCTAAGAGCACAAGTTCATTAATACTTGTTCTGCCTCTCAAATTACCAAAGAACAGTTTTACGAAATCTGTTGCCGCTACCTAACAGTATTCCTCTACCTTTCCAGCCTCCAATATCAGTTTACTTGCTGGCTTAATTTAAACCTAACTGCAAAGCTAAAGCCACACTTTTAGAGTTTTTGTTATACAACAACTGACTCTCAATATCAGTTGCTATGCTACTTAGGATAGGCTAGGATATTAACCCCAAAATCTCAGTAGCTTACACTTGAAGTAGCAGTAGAGAGGAAGAAAAAGCCTTTTTCCACATGTTCCACATCACCCAGAGACTAGGCTGGGAGGTTTCATTCACCAAGTAGATTTTCATTGATCATGGCACAGAAAGAGTCAGCTGGAGATTCACACAGACTACGTCTGTTTAGGCTTAGAAGAGAAGAATTGGACTTCTACTCATAGCAAGAGACTTGGAATGTTTGATGATCACCACCATATCTACTGTAAGATTTTATAGTTTTA